AAATCTACTTACATCTCAGGTTGTATTTGTGAGTGTTCAGAATGGTTTCATAGGTATCCAGCTAAATTCGAGGGACCAGATGAAACGATGTCCCCCACTCAACCACCATCTTGCCCCCCTCTCCCAAAGTCCCTGTTTCTGTAGATTATCTCTGTTACTTTCTGGTCTATATTACTTGTGGGGTCTTTCTTCACTTACAGGATCCCCCTGTAAGCAGTACTGGCTTGGTGGTCACATATTCTTTTAGTTTGTGTGTCTTGGAAACTCTTTATCTCTCCTCCTATTCTGAATGAAACCTTGCTGGATAAGGTATTCTTGGCTCTATGTTCTTCTCATTTAGTACCCTGAATATATCTTGCCAGCCCTTTCTGGCCTGTCAGGTTTTTGTGGTTAGGTCTGATGTTATTCTGATGTTCTTCCTTCCATACATAAGCAATCTCCTCTCCCTAGCTGCTCTCACAATAGCTTCTTTGGCTCTAAGATTTGCAAACCTCACTATTATATGCTGGGGTCTTGATCTGTTTTTATTGGTTTTGGGTGGGGTCCTCTCTGCCTCTTGGACACGAATGCTTGTTTCCTTCCGCAGATTGGGGAAGTTCTCAGCTCAGCTGTGATTTGCTCAAATAGACCTTCTAGCCCTCTCTCTCTCCACCCACTCTGAGATCCCAACAATTTGGACATTGGTTTGTTTCAAGACATTATTAAATTATTGAAGCCTTTCTTCATGGGCCATTAGTTGTCTTTCTCTCTTTTCCTCAACTTCCTTTCCATCAGCCTGTCTTCTAGATCACTCTTTCTCTCTTCTGCTTCATTTACCCTAGCTATTAGAGCATCCAATTTAGGCTGCATCTCATTCATAGCATTTTTAAGTTCAGCCTGATTAGATCTCATTTCTATGCTTAGAGATTCTGTGTTTTCATTTATGCTTTTTTCAAGCCTAGCTATTAACTTTATGATTGCTATCCTGAATTCTCTCTCTGACATCTTGCTTATATCCGTATCAATTAGCTCTGTTGCAGAGAACACTGCCTCTGGTTCTTTCCTTTATTGTGAGTTCCTCCTTCTAGTCATTCTGCCCAGGGGAGGATGGGTGAGCGAATGAACAGATTCCAAAATATCAACCAAGAACCAAGCAAAATTCAACCTAGAAAAAATCTGGAGTGGTTGGAAGCCACCACAAAAAAGCAAATAAACCCAAGATGAACCAAAACAATAAAAAAGGAGGGGGAGACTATAATCTCACAGGGTGGACAAAGCAAGGTGATCTTCTTTTTCCTGATTGGATTTTGGTTGTGTATTAGAGGACACTACATCCCAAAATTGCAAGGAAATAAAGCTTATGTATATATAAAAAATTAAATTGGATTAAAGTAAAAAAAGAACTAGAGTGAGGCATAAATCTATAAAATGTAGATGTGAGGGGAAAAAAGTTAAAAAGCAACTTAAAAACATAAGTTGGGGGGTGCCTGGGTGTCTCAGTTGGTTAAGCATCCTTCGGCTCAGGTCATGATCCCAGGGTCCTGGGATCTAGCCCCACATCGGGCTTCCTGCTCAGTGGAGAGCCTGCTTCTCCCTCCCCCTCTGCTACTCCCTCTGCTTGTACTCTCTCCCTCTCTCTCTCTCTCTTTCTCTCTCTGTGTTAAGCAAGTGAATAAAATCTTTAAAATAAAAACATAAAAACGTAAGTTGGGAAAATAAGAATCTAGTTGCAATGGGAAAAAGGTTAAAAAAAAGAAGAAATGTAAAATTTTAGACTGAAGGATAAACGATTCAGGAGGAAACACCTAGAGATCAATATATTGTTTTCCTCTGGCTCTGGAGTTTTACAGTCCTGTGAGATACATAAGCTTGTCATTCACCTGTTCTTCCAGTCTGTCTTCTAGGTGAGAGACCTGCTGTTTTGCCTCTCAGGTGTCTTGCCTGGGCAGAGTTGCCCCACCCCTTGTCAGGGGGATGGGCTTAAGGTGAGCTGGTCCTCTATGTGGCTTTTGTTCCCTGGTGGCTTTCTGCACCTTTTCAGAGGGTCAAAGCAAAAATAGCTGTGCTGGGATCTCTGGCCCAGAGCTGCAAGATTGTGGTCCCCCTTCTTCAGTAAACCCTCCAGGTCAAACCATCTCCACTTCTGTGTTCACCAACTCGCAGACTCTCATGGTTTGCCCCCACTGCAATTCTCCCTGGAGGACTCCCTGGGGCCCACAAATGACACTTCACTTTGTGCCTTTGCAACTGTGAGCTGTTATGGGCTCGCGTGTGCACCCTGCTCCACTGTTTCCAGGTCACGGCTGGGTGCCATCCTACTGTCCTTTCTGGGGCCACCACTGCCCTGAGAGTTGTTGCTCAGTCATGGGCTCAGCCATTTCGTCACTCCCAGGGGATGTTAAATGGCCCACACATTCCAGTCCTTTTCAGGGTGCTCAGGAAGACAGTGGTCTCCCTACTCACCTGGCTTGGAGTTTATGGCAACTGGAGCTGGGAGTCCTTCCTGGGCTCACTGACCATCACCAGTTTCTTCACTCCACTGCTTGGGCACTCTATTGGATCAGGCACCCCCATTTTTCTGTGTCTCCTGGGATCCTGAGACCACAATGATGCACTTAGAATTCTGCTCTTTTCATCCCCTGTGCCTCTTTCAGAAAGGGATGTCTCTTACTGGAGCAGATTTCTAAGGGTTCTGATTTTGTGCTCTTGTGTTATATCACTTTCCAGTAGCCAGCTTATGGAGGCTCCCTCTCCCGTCCCTTTATCTTCCAATATTTCCCAAAGATTCATGATTTTGCACTTCCTACCTTGCAAAAAGCAGTCATTTTTCTGCTTGTAGAGTTCCTGATATATTTTCTTACATCTCAGCCTGAATTTGTGTGTGTTCAGAATGGTTTCATAGATATCCAGCTAAATGTGAGGGACCAGATGAAACGAGGTCCCCTACTCTGCTGCCATCTTGCCTCCCCTTTTTTCCTTTTTTTTAAATTTAAATTCAGTTAGCCAACATATAGTATATAATGAGTTTCAGTTGTAGTGTTCAATAATTCATCAGTTGCGTATAACAGCTGTTATATTATTGTCCAAAAACAAATAGCCAGTCAAGGGCAGAACCCAGATTTATACCCAGGTCTGAATCTAAACTTGTGTTCCTTTAGTAATATTGCTCTGCTTAATACAGAAATGGGTTGTAGGGTGAGCACTGCCACAAATTGGCTCTATGACTTAGTGTGATATACTGTATCACTTTGAATCTTATTAGTTTCTCATCTATAAATTGGGATAAGGATAGGTAAAGTTCAGATTGCTCTGCATGTAATCTAGAGGAGGAAAATGGAAGTCTAGATAGGAGGGGCTTTAAATAATTAATTGGCCAATACAAGTCAGTTTCATTCTCTGCAAGACACTTGAATAGGTATACCAAAGACCTTCAATATGTTTATGCTCTTTAGTCTGGGCAACTCCATTCAGGCAGTGTGGAATAGTGGGTGGTGTTAGAGAGCCCTGCATTCAAATGCCAACATCCCATTTACTAGTTCTGTGGTCTTGGGCAAGTTACTACCCTGGATCTCAATTTCCGTCTTCTTCTTTTTTTTTTTTTTTACAAATGGGGTAATAACACCCATCTTTTTTACCCTTTTCTAAGGTAACAAAATATAATAACATGAAAAGAGGTTTTGAATAAAGAAAGAAAAATTTCTCCCATTGTCCTATCCCCCTAACACAATTCTCTTTGTGGTTCTGTGCCATTGAAGGTCACCTCTTAAGGCAGGAGCCAAAGGAGAGAGAGACTAAAGACAGAAACAGGCTAAAGCGAGACTAGGGTCTAGGGTGTAGACCAACAGCACCCATAGGATGGGCTGGAGCAAAGGTGAAAGCCAGGTACTGATGCAGAAGAAAGGAAATGCCAAATCTGAGTGATGGATAACAGCTAGGCAGTACCTGAAAACCAGAGAGTACAGAAAGCCAATGGGAGGACAACAATGTGCTCTAGAGGGCCTCCTTCCAAAGCTTTGTGGCTCTTTCATTTAGGCAGGCTTCAAATGGTCTTAAAGGTCTTTGGAACTGTGCCAGTATATTTTGAGCATGTATATTTTGAAAAATACAACCTAAGTGTATATATTTTTTCATTGAGTATCATATCTTCAACATTTTCCATGTCACAAGTCTTCATAGTGATTCCTTTTAATGGCTTCCTAAATATTGCAATTTTGCTCATAGTCCAGAATGAACATTCCTGTGTGTTAACTTTTTGTTTCCCTTAATTATGTTCTTAGAATAAATTCACAGGTGTGAGATTACTGAACCAGAGAGTATACAACTGGGATTTAACAGCCAGATGCAGGTTTTATTTTTTAGGAAAAGAAATAAGCTATAGTTCTTCCATTACTCTTCCTCTTCTGGAACCAAGGAGTGGACTCTGTAGAGCTGTGCTGTCCAATTAACCACATGTGATGGTTTAAAGTCAAATTAATTAAAATGATTAAAAAATCATAATTCAGTTCTTCAGCTGCATTAGCCACATTTCAACTACCCAGTAGCTACATGTGCCTAGTGTATGGGAAAGTATAGGTATAGAAAATTTCCATCATTGTAGAAAATTTAATGGACAGTGCTCCTTTAAGAGTTTCTCAAAGGTCATGGTGGGCATCTTGGGTGGGAATTATTTGTGGTGTGGGACTTTCCTGTGCATTGAGAGGCTATTTAGCATCTCTGACCCATGTCCACTACATACCAGTAGTGCTCTCTCTTGAATCAGTCTAATAGCAAAAACCTCCACGTTTGCAAATGTCCCATAAGGAAATAAAATTATCCCCTTTTGATACCCACTGAGCTTCAATCTTAGAATAAAGGATCTTCTACTTTTTGGGGGATGGCTTCAGGTTGGATCTGCCTGGAGAAAGAAAAGCTTAGAAAGATGGCTTAGAAAAATAGCCTTGGCTCAGAGCCTAAATCTGTACTCCATTCCCAATTTCCTCCCTTTTCTTGCTGGTCTGTTTCTTGCTTTTTGGTAATTGTAGGAACAAGACCCTGCAGATGGAGAAGATCAAGGCACGCTTGAAAGCTGAGTTTGAGGCCCTTGAATCAGAGGAGAGGCACCTGAAGGAATACAAGCAGGAGATGGATCTGCTGCTACAGGAGAAGATGGCCCATGTGGAGGAACTCCGACTGATCCATGCTGATATCAATGTGGTATGTAGCTGGCTTCCCAAAGCCTACTTATGGGCCCTTTGAGGACTAGACAGTAGTGAGTACTGTGGCCTCTCTTGAGATGTGGCTGTGGCCAACTTGGGGAAGTAAGCATCAGGCTGTTGTGGAATGGAAGAATCCAAGAGTTCTGAGATCTAGCTCTGGCACTGTCACTGATTGACTGTATATCACTGGACAAGCCCCTTTTTCTCCTGGGCCTCATTTTCTCTCTCTTTACTATGGCAGGGATTCAGTCACCTCTAAGATCTCTTTCAGCACTGATGTGCTCTCATCCTGGGAGTCTGGGAGTTGAGAACTAGCCTTGGGGTAAAGCAGAGCAGACAGCTGCCTCTGGGGTCTAGCTCAAAGGGCTCCAAAACTTCCAAGTAGGCTAAACAATCCCTGCCAGCCTACTAAAGTGTAGCTCCCTTATTAGAGTCTCTCTTTTGGAGATACTTGGAACAGGGGAAATGAACTGCCCGCTAAGTTGATAAGTTCCCCAATTTTTGGAGTTATTCAAGGAGAGCCTGAATGATCACCTGTCTGGGCTGCAGTATTGATGCACCAGGAGGAAAGCTGGAGGTGCTGACTTACAAAGTCCTTTCCAATCCTTAGAGCCCAGGACAATGAGAAACATTTTTTTAAAAATTACATTTGAAGGAGTTGTTTCTATTTTTGGAAAACTCATTTCTATGACAATACTTATTTCCAGGGTTTCATGAGCTGCTGCCTGCTAACAAAGGATACAAAGCCAATACAAATAACAAAATATTAGCCACAGAGGGACTGAGAATCTAAACCAGTGGATGTCTAACTTAAACTTGAATCAAAGTCAGCTGAAGAGGTTCTTAAAACATAGATTATTGGACTCTACACCAGAATTTCTGATTTTTATATGTCTGGGGCCATGCCTGAGAATTTGCATTCCTAATGAGTTTCCAGGTGATGCTAATGCTGCTGATCTGGTGACTACAGTTTGAAAACCACTGATCTAAGAGAAAAGCCACCAGCCTTGGAAGCTTAAGCCCTGAGTCTTTGTCTATGCTTTGCCCTTAAGAAGTATTTCTCTGGGGAAGTTTCTTTCTTTTTTTTTTTAAGATTTTATTTATTTATTTGAGAGAGAGAGAGCACATGAAAGGGGGAGGGTCAGAGGGAGAAGGAGACTCCCTGCTGAGCAGGGAGCCCAATGCGGGACTCGATCCTGGGACTCCAGGATCATGACCTGAGCCAAAGGCAGTCGCTTAACCAACTGAGCCACCCAGGTGCCCCTCTCTGGGGAAGTTTCTTAAGTTTCTTCCTTCTGAGTCTCAATTCTCTGATCTGTAAAATGGTGGGGTGGACTAAATGAACTCTAAGGGCCATTCTAGCTTTAAGGTGCTATATTTGAATAATAACTACCATTTATTAAACCTTTACTCTGTGGTAACCCTTGTACTGAGAGCTTTATATGAATTCAATCACTGAATCTTCATAAGATTATATGAGGTAGGAACTATTACCATCACTATTATAAAGATGAAAAAAAAAACTGAGGCTTGACAAGAGTCACATAGAATACATGGTCGGGGCGCCTGGGTGGCTCAGTTGGTTAAGCCAACTGCTTTCGGCTCAGGTCATGATCCCAGAGTCCTGGGATCGAGTCCCGCATCGGGCTCCCAGCTCAGTGGGGAGCCTGCTTCTCCTTCTGATCCTCTCCCCCCTCATGCTGTTTCTCTCTCTCTCAAATAAATAAAATCTTTAAAAAAAAAAAAAGTCTTTAGAATACATGGTGAATGAAGGACTTGACCATAGATTGGTCTGGATCTGGAGCCTGGGTTATTTTATCCACTTAGCTTTGCAGAGAATGATGGTGTCTTTTCTCTGTACCTACCTCACTCTGTGTTCCAGATGGAAAACACCATCAAACAATCTGAGAATGACTTAAATAAGTTGCTAGAGTCTACCCGGCGGCTACATGATGAGTATAAGCCACTGAAGGAACATGTGGATGCCCTACGTATGACTCTAGGCCTGCAGAGGCTCCCTGACCTATGTGAAGAGGAGGAGAAGCTCTCCTTGGAGTAAGCTGCCTATTCCCTGTCCCTGCAACATACACACAACACACACAACACACACACACACATACAGAGGCACATATACACACATAAAGCCTGGTTTAAAAGTCATAGTACCCAGTCCTAGCTTCAGGCCTGTCAGTAACTGACTCATTGTATGACTTTGGGCAAGTCTCTGTGTATCAAAATAAGGATGGTTAGACTAGTATTACCAGGTAGTTTTTAAAATTCTCTATGCAATTTTAATAACATAAGACTGTGTCTATGACTCTGTGTGTGTGTGTGTGAGAGTGAGTGTGAGTGAGACTTTTAAAAGGTCACTTCCCAAGTCAAGGTCAAGCAGGGGTATCTAGAAACCTTTGAAAACATAGAAGGCTGGGCTTTCATGGTCTCCAGGGGCTAGCCTGGAACTTCATCTTAAGACCCAGAATTAAGAACTACACTCACCTTACCGAGAGAGTTCAGTTCAGTAGAAGGAAACACACTTCCTTAAAGTAGAGCAGGTTGCCTGTGGAAGTGGTGAGCTTCATATTCCTAGAAGTATGTCAACAGAGGCCTGAGGACACTTAATGGGAATATTGCAAGGGTACATGGGATGAACAGCAGGCAAATGCCCTTTAAGGACCTGCTAGCCCTGGGAGTCTTGATTTTCTGGGTGTGTCAGAGCCAAGGAGGAGGAGGATTACCCTTCCCAGCAGACAATGGCCCAGGTACCCAAGGAGAAGAATCTTGTGCTGGGGAGGGTGCAGGAACTTTCTATAGTGAGCCACAGCCCAACCCCTTTGGTCCTGTGTCATGGAGTCTTTAAGAGAGGCAAGGTTCTCCTTGCTTTCAGAATGATCCAGCTAATGTCTTTCATCTCCAAAGTTACTTTGAGAAGCAGAAAGCAGAGTGGCAGACGGAGCCTCAGGAGCCCCCCATCCCTGAGTCTCTGGCCGCTGCAGCTGCTGCTGCCCAGCAACTCCAAGTGGCTAGAAAGCAGGACACTCGGCAGACAGCCACCTTTAGGCAGCAGCCCCCACCTATGAAGGTAAGTGAGCTGGGTAAGGGTTGTGGAGGAAGCAAGGTATCTTCAAGCAGCCCCATGGAAGGCTAGGACTGGGGCTTTGTAGTTACCTATTTGGTGCCTTTCTAAAACAGACTTTGCTTGGGACACAGAGGAAGTGTTGGTGTATATGTGCTATAGCAGACCAGCTGATTTTATTGTTTTATATTCCCCGAGGGGCTACAATGCAGGAAGGTTGGCAGATTCTGCTAAAGCATAATTTTAAAAAGTTAGAGACAAGACTTGTGCAAATATATAGTGAGCATGTGTTGTTAATGAGGGAGTCAGCAGGATTACAAAACTGGTTCCAAAAGCATTTGAGAAACAGATAACTATATAGTAAGAAAAGGAAAGGAATGCTGAAATAAGTTTACAAAATTAAATACAGAACTGGTTGATGTCCTACAGGGCAATAAACTGTAACCTTTGTGATTATCTTTTCTTTGGAACAGAAATAATCTGCATCTCTACTGGGCAACAACCTTATTATTAATAACAAGCTTATTAGCATAAATCACAGTTTGGGCCCTAATCAATAATAGTCAAACAAAAGGACATTCTCTTAGAGCAGGGGTCAGCAAACTAGAACCCACAGGCCAAGTCTGACTTGCTTGTAAATAAAGTTTTACTGGTATACACACATGCTTTTTTGTTTATGTATTATCTGTAACTTCTTTCATGTAGAACAATTATAGTTGAGTAGTTGCAACTAACACCATGTAACCTGAAAAGTCTAAAATGTTTACTCTTTTGGCATTTGTAGAGAAAGTTTACTGATACCTATCCTAAAGAATTAAATAATCCTTAATAGAGCCTGTTGGACTATGTTCCAATATAACGTTAAAATGATATGTAATTCTCATTTTGCCTTATTTCCAAATTCTGGATATTTTTCCTCAATAACCCTCTTTGACCCTTATAGCCTTTACTTCCCTTACACCTGGCACTGATCTCTCTACTTGTTGAGAAGTACTAGTAACCTCTTCCTGTTGGGAAATCACAATTGCTTTCTGGACTCTTGGGGATCAGAAGGCTGAACCATAGGCTAGAAGAATCTGATCACTAACTTTCTTTGTCCTGTGTCCTCCCACCAGGCCTGCTTGTCATGTCATCAGCAAATTCATCGGAATGCACCTATATGTCCTCTGTGCAAAGCCAAGAGTCGGTCCCGGAACCCCAAAAAGCCAAAACGGAAGCAGGATGAATGAAGAGATGGAGAACACATGGAGCTCTGCTACTCATAACCTCTCCCCTTGGCCAGAGTGATTAATGTCCTGATTTGAAACCACCCTACCCCACCTCTACTGAGTTTCCTATTTAATGTGATGGAAGCACAACCCCTCTCACTTTGCTCTTATTTCTTTCTTCTCTTGGGGTTTCTGACTTAAGAAGAGATATGGTTCAGGTGCTAATGACAGTGTATCTGATGATCCCTTCTCTCCTACCCACATTTCAACCCCTGCCCTTGTTTGAACCTGAAGGAAGGGCAGAAGGCCCAGATGTGATTCTCTGCCTCTTGTGTCTGATGCCTGGGGCCTAAGGGCTGAGGGCTAGAGGAGGCCCTTGTTTCAGGTGAAAGCTCCAGTGTGCCCCCTCCCTGTACTTTTGCCTTAGGCTCTGAAGGGACAACAGTCTTCTTGCTGGACTTTCCAGTAAACTTGGTGTATATATCTTCCCCACGTGCCCCTTAATTTCATCTCATCTAAGCAAGGGCCAGAGGTAAGTTGGACAAGCCCTCCTTTTCATCTTCATTTGGGAGGCCTGGCTGTTATTATGGAGTTCACTCCCATGCCAGTCTCCCAGATTTGCTAAATTTCTCAGGTACAGGTTGTGTGTCTAGAGATCCTGAGACCTGCAGATCTTTCCCATAACTCTCATTTTTCAAATCAGTGGCAGAAGTTCCCCACAGTGAAATCAGAGAGCCACACCCAGTCCGCATATCCTAAATAACTTGCTGCCTAAATCATTGGGCTCTACTGTAGTGGCTAACCTTAGGATGAGAGGAGCCCCAGGCTGACATCTGTGTTGCCAAGTGTCCAAAACTATTTTTGTTCCAAACCATTATTCTGGCACTTACTCAATGATATTTCTTAGGGGTTAGAGGCGTGAGTTGAGAGTCAAGTGAATGCCAACCATTTTACCTATGTAAGAGTGTGGACTTCCCCTCCATTCATCTCTCCCTCTCTTGGGTCTGCCCTCTTCTATAAGGTAGCCTCAGCTCAGGTCAGCTGCTAGCCACCCCCTTTCCTATAGATTCTGTTGATGGCCTTCCTTTACAGAAGAAAAGGCACCGGACTCCCCAGGCCCTACTCTCTACCCTCCTACTCTCTACCCTCCTCTCTACCAAAATCAGATCTCTAGTCAAGTCACTCTTAGACTTAAAGGACAGAGATGGGGGTTGGCTTTAGATCCAAGTCTCAGTTCCTGGCTGGGGAAAGGGGATATTTTCCCTTTTTTCTTAACTGTAGTTTTAATTTGCCACAGTGTTTTTTATTCATAATATAAAAAGTTCCTCTGCTTTTTGAAAGTGAGAGTGTTATGTCTGTACAAATTCTTTTAAATAAACATTTGTTCACTGGAGTGAATGCTGATGAGTGCCTATAAGTACCAAGTAATAGAAAAGATATAGTGATTTTTCCCCTCCTGGGTAGCTCTTCAAGTGGTAAGAGAAATTTCAAGATTTGAATCCAGATTTGGTTCTTGAGCCCATTTTTTTCTACTTTTCTCTATAATCATTTTTTTTCTTTAAGCCTTTCTCCCTTTTGGGATGGTTTAATGATGGAGTAGTTGAAGTAACTCTAAACTAGAAATTAGGGACTAGGAATCCAGTGACTGATGCAGGAATACAAAGGCCTAGTTCCCTATAGAAATACAATAGGGAACAACAGTGAAAGACCATCCTAGTTTCAGAGCTCTCTATAGGGTGGACTGAGGTTTCCATTAAGACTGCACTGCAGTTCATCAGCACCCTCTGCTCAACCCTGCCTCCTCTAATGCTTCTCCTCTACAAGTGTTAATCCCAAGACCTCCCTAATTAACATCGTGTACATTAAATAGTCCCAGTGCTTCCCAGTAACCCAATAGCTGACAAAAATACCTCTGTGCGTCAGTGTCCTCATCTGGAAAATGGGGAAAATAATAATACCTTCTTCTGAGGCTATTGTAAGTAATGCTAGGTACATAGTAAGCACTCAGTAAGTGTTAATTTCCTTCAAGTATATTGAATGACTGGTCAAAGTAATACTATTTTTCTTACCTGATATTACTTCATCACCAGAGACTTTGTTCGTCTACAAGCCTGCTTTTGAGGTGGCCCAGGCTAACTGTGGGCAAAGGGAAGACACTCAGCTATGTGACTTAGGGTACATCTTAACCTGTATAGGCCTCAGTAGGTCCCTGTAAGTATATGAAGAGTGGTTATTGCTCTGTATCCTTGCACACTGGAGGTCAGATTTGTCAATTCTAAATGTCAGTTGTAGCACCACTAACTAGATCAGCCATTTCCCAGAGACACTTCTGAATGGGAAGGAACAGTCATGTGTTGAGCACCTACACCTGCTAACCACTGGGTGGGGTGCCACTACCTCATTTAGTTTCTTTGGTTCATTTATCTATTGTTGTGAAACAAACCACCCCAAAACTTAGTGGCTTAAAACAACAATTTATTTGCTCATGACCTGCAATTTGTACAAGACTTGCTGGGAATAGCTTATCTACATTCCATGTGGTGTTGCCTCAGACAGCTTGGCAAGGTCTGGAGGATCCATGATGTCTGCACTCTCATATCTGGCAACTCAGCTGGGCTGCCTGGGCTTCCCACCTCCTTTGTTAGTATTTTATCCTCCACAGCCTCTCCTCCACTTGGCCTCTCACCTCAGTAGAGTAGTCAGATATTTTTTACATGATGACAGGCTTCCAAAGGATAAAAAACAAAGCCTTTTGTGGCATAAGACCAGAAGTGATATAGCAACACTGCTGCTGTACTCTATTGGTCTAAACAAGTCACACAGCTAGCCCAAATTTAAGAAGTGGGGAATATCCTAATGGGAAGGGCTGCATGCTTGTCAGAGATGGGAGGAATTGTTGGCCATATTTGCAGACAATCTACCACATTTTCCAACAACCTGGCAAGGAAGTGTTATTTGTGCCCATTTTATAAATGATAAAACTGGCTCAAAGAGGTAAAGTAATTGCCCAACAACTAAGAAAAAGGCGCAGCCAGGAGTCAGACCCAGGTCCCTTTTCCTCTAAGGCTGTGTTCCTTCTGCCTAACTACACTGCTGGCAGGAAGTCTGAGACCTGCTTAAAGGAAAAGAAGGAAAGAGAAGGAATAAAAATAGAGTGAAATAAGAAGACAATTGGGATGTACAAGTTTGGAGACATCTGAGTGGCTCAATCGGTTAAGTGTCTGCCTTTGACTCAGGTCATGATCCCAGAGTCCTGGGATTAAGTACCACATCAGACTCCCTGCTCCCTCTGCCCTTCCCCCCTGCTCATGATCTCTCTCTCTTTCTCACTCTCAGATAAATAAACAAAATCTTTTTTAAAAAGGAGAAAAAAGAAAAGATTGAGGAGGAGGAGAGTAAAGGAAGTTAACTGCACTGGTAAAATCATTTACACTTCAAGCACCTTTTCAATATTCTCATTTGATGCTTATGTTAATACCCTGTACTGTTAGTACTGCATGTATTATTATCATCCACATTTTAAAGATGAGACCCAGAGAGGGGAACTGACTTCATCAAAGGCACAAAGCAAGTTAAGAGCAACCAGAGCCATAACTAGAACTCACGTCTTCCAATCTTGGAATGACCCAATCTGGGGACCTCTTTACATTTTTGACACAGTGGGGATGAATTTATTTTTAATTTGAAGTTTTATGTTTTCCTTCCATATTTCATTTTTTTTTAATTTCAAGATTTGACTTAAATTCAAGTTAATTAACATAGAGTGTAGTATTAGTTTCAGGGGTAGAACTTAGTGATTTATCACTTGCATGTAACACCCAATGTTCATTACAAGTGCCCTCCTTAATGCTTATCACCCATTTACTACATCCCCTGACCCATAACCACTCCAGCAACCATGAGTTTCTTCCCTGTACCTAAGAGTCTCATGATTTGCCTCCCTCTCTAATTTTATTTTATTTTTCCTTCCTTTCCCCTATTTTGATCTGTTTTGTTTCTTAAATTCCACATGAGTGAAATCATATGGTATTTGTCTTTCTCTGACTTATTTTGATTAGCATAATACACTCTAGTTCCATTCATGTCATTACAAATGGCAAGATTTCCTTCTTTTTATGGCTAATATTCCATTATATATATACCACACTTTCTTTATCCATTCAACAATTGGTGGACATTTGTGCTGTTTCCATATTTTGGTTACTGTGGATAGTGCTGCTATAAACATTGTGGTGCATTTGCCTCTTTGAATCACTACTTTTGTATCCTTTGGATAAATACCAGGTAGTGCAACTTGTGGGTCATACAATAGTTCCAATTTACCTTTCTGAGGACCCTCCATACTGTTTTCCAGAGTGGCTGCACCAGTTTGCATTCTTCGCAACAGTGTAAGAGTGTTCTCCATTCTCTACATCCTTGCCAACATCTGTTTTTTCCTCAGTTGTTAATTTTAA